GTTCAAACAAGTATAATACTTTATTTAAAGTACAAAACAACTACTTTTTGGGACAATTTAAAAAAGGGTGGCTTCAAACTTTTGAACTGTAGTATATATTTCGATATATTTTTAGATATTTATATAAGAAGTAGTCACGGTGGATAGCGGCTCGGATTGAGGAATCGGAGAGTCGAGTGCGAATTCCAATCTAATATTCTTGGGAAAGATATAAATCCTCTTCACCCCGCAACAGCTAAGGGTAAATAGCAGGTCAGACTGATTTTTTCTTACACAGGTTGCTTTGGGTGGCAACCGGTCTAGGAGAAAGTAACTTGAAATTAAATCTGTATGTAGCACTAGCGTAGCGCGTATATATACAGATGATTATATATATATATTATATATATATATATATATATATATATATATATATATATATATATATATATCAGTCGGTTATATTCCATGTGTGATACATGCTTGGGCAATCATGTATCTTTCGATACATGACTGACGAGGCAGATTTTTTCACGCAGTAGGTTGCCATTTCTTTCTGCGGTAGACCAGTTGCCATTCAAGGCTATAGAACTCGGTCTGTCCTGCTATAGATAGATCAGCCAGTCAGTTATGTGCCATGCGTGATACGCGCTTAGGCAATCATGTATCTTTCGATACATGACTGACGAGGCAGATTTTTTCACGCAGTATTTTGCCATCTCTTTCTGCGGTAAACCAGTTGCTATCCAAGGCAACCCAGTCTGTCCTGCTATCTATACATCGCTGTGGTGGTGGTGGGGGGATAGAAGAAGAGGATTCATGCCTTTCCTAAAGGTATTAGCACGTAAATGAATGTAACTGAATTCGACTGGAATTCGAACTCGGCTCTCTGATTCCTCAATCCGAGCCGCTATTCATTACTCCACCCCCCCCAATTTTGATTTGATTGTTGATTGTTGATTGTTTTGTTTAACGGCATCTAAACCTTAGTGGTCACTTTATGTCGAAAATGATTTTGAGTGACTTTAAAAGTCAAAAACGTATAGCTGGCAACATTATGGTTTCAACCCCCACCCCCCAAAAAAACCGTATAGCTGGCAACATTATTGTTTCAAAAACGTACAGCTGGCAACATTATTGTTTCAAAAACGTATAGCTGGCAACATTATTGTTTCAAAAAACGTATAGCTGGCAACATTATTGTTTCAAAAAAACGCATTATTTCAAAAACGCATAGCTGGCAACATTATGGTTTCAAAACGTACAGCTGGCAACATTATTGTTTCAAAAACGGATAGCTGGCCAACATTATGGTTCCAAAAACGCATAGCTGGCAACATTATTGTTTCAAAAATGTATAGCTGGCAACATTATTTTTCCGAAAACATTATCTAAAGCCTTGCTGTTGGATGTAGTTTATCGCCATACCCAGGACGCGGATGTAGTTTATCGCCATACCCAGGGCGCGGATGTAGTTTATCGTCATACCCAGGACGTTATATATATATATATATATATATATATATATATATGTGTGTGTGTGTGTGTGTGTGTGTGTGTTAATCAGACGTATTTTTATCACTTAAACGTTATCTTTAGTGGGTACCCGCCAAAACTATTTACCTTGGAAAACAGTTTTAAGAGAATTATTTGATAAATTTCAGCCGGAATTAGCAGTGTCTGCTCGATCATTAAATGCCGAATGTTTCTTTCTAAAGAAAACCGATAATAACACCGTTAACATATATCAGTCACTGGGGAATTAAGAGAAATGGGGAAGGTGGCAATCGGCTCTTCCCAGTTCTTTTGTTATGCAGAAGGATAGTGGGGATACCATGAACTGAACATGTGAGCAATGATGAAGTTTTAATATTAAATAAGGCCACTTAGAAGCAGAAAGAAGCGGTTGAAATTTCCAGGGCATTAGAACAGGGATTAGAATATTTTATTTTGATAAATACAATATTGGAGTCGCTAATGAAGAAAAGAATGACAGCAAGTCCTCAACAGCAGCAGCAATCGAAATATGGGAAGCAGCAGCAGTTGCAACCTAATCAGCAGACAAGTTGAGTTTAAAGAACCAAAACAAAGTGTCGTATAATGGCCAGATAAAAGCGTTGCTTTATGAATTTGGTTGTGAGTTCAATTCTTGTTCTGGGCAGTGTGCATTAGTACTCACTGGAAACGGACGGCTAATAATTGAATAGTACTAAATAAAAACAAGCACGAGACGATGTCTCTAGACATGAGCATTGGGACGAGAACAATCTATCCCCGTAGATTAAATAAAAGGTTCAGTTCAGAATTCTCTATCGGTCCAGGTTGATATACACATGAGGAAGGCCGGAGGCCGTAACGACCGAAACGTTGTGATAACAAGAACAAAGATGAAGACAATAGTCTGAATAAAATAATGTGGATAGGTATTAAGAAGACAAGTTTTATTAAGATTTACAAAGGACAAGAAGTTGTGGAGAGCAATGATCGCTCTAGGCCTGAGGGGACACGACAAATAAGAGGAAAAAAGAAACGCACGCGCGTGAGAGTGACAGTGAGTGCGTGTGTGTATGTGTGTGTGTGAGATTGAGAAAGGGTCAAAGGGAGAAAATGAAAAGAATACATAAAACTATAGTAATGCACTTATGTGTTTTTGTTATTCATGTTGTACAAACTGTTCTGTCGCCTCGTTATTATCAGCACTTTAATCTGAACCGAGGCTTTGCTTTGTAAAGTGTCACCCACACGACCGTGTCCACTACCTGAAACGTTCTCCTCGCTCCAATGGCGATCCGACTTCTGGGCACAGACAATAGAACCAGCCTGTCATTATTTTGAAAATTTTATATAAAGCATTTACAATGTTATTATTATTTTATTATTGCTTTCATTCCGGCTCGTTATTGTTGATTTTTATCACCACCCTCTGCATCGATACACTCTTCGACCGTTGAAGGAAACGGAAATAAAGAGATAGCCTCCGCTTGAGTGCTGAATCTACAATCCAGTCTTTCACGTGCGTCGACTTAACCACTGTAGCCATGAAAGCAAGTCACAAATTCGACATCATTCGATAAGTCGCTTCTTTCCGATTCTTTACGCTAAATTCATTTTAATTTTTATAGTCTTCTTTTTTATAAAATAAGTCAGTCAAAATGCAATGTCTTTCTTCTTGATTCTCCTTTTATTATTCTCGCTCCTTAATAATGTTTCTCTTTTTCTTACTCTTTTACACCCAGTAACCTCTTGTATCTTAGTGGCTTTACTGAAATGCATGGCGGAAATGATAAAACAAAAACAGAAAAACAAAAAACAGAAAAACAAAGAACAGAAAAAAAACAACACATGAGCTATGTTTTGTGGTCTTCTTTTACGTACCGCGTTCCTTGAGGACATAGCCATCCACAACTTCCTATCCTTCATTGGTGTAAGCAAAGTTTGCCATCCAAGTCATTAGTTATGTTAGTCGTTGTTTCACACACACACACAAACATATATATATGTGTATATATATATATATATATATATATATATATATGTGTGTGTGTGTGTGTGTGTGTGTATACATTATATATATATGTATATACTTGCCGACGATCGGTACTTTGCTACAACATTGATTATTACAATAGAGATACTACTACTACTTCTACTACTACTACTACTAATGCTGATGACTTTTGAGTAAATAATATTATTATAGTATCAGGCCAGGTAAGAGTAACTGTCTGAAGTACAATTATAGACTACATTAGTTAGTGTAGGTGAAAAAAATTAATCTCGAGAAGGCCTCAGCTTCGCATATCGATGCTATGTTTTATTTATCTTTTGTGGGGTGGGGGTGGAAGGTTGAATAAGTGAAAACCATTTGTATTCTTTATTTATTTCGTTGTTGACATTTTAGGCTCAACGAACATTATGATAATGCTCGCTGAGAGTGAAACGTCTACAAGGGGAAAAAATTAAACTTTCAACTGGTTTTCACGTATTCCATTTCATATACACTTTGGATATTTCATGTGTGTGTGTGTGTGCGTGTTTGACACGTTTAGACCTTTAAGATGAAATCCTAAGGGACTAAACGTTCACACCAAAACTTTTTACACTTTGTTATACATCTTTCTTCCCAAACTGTTCTTGATAAATAAACATTTATATGTCGTTATCTCATATCTGCAGTAAGTCATGATAAAAATATTCATTGTATATTTTTATGTTTTTTAGTGACATGTGGAAGTACAATTACAATAAGCTTTTTGGGAAACCATACTTTTTTCGGAGTTGCATCTGCAGCTTTTATACATACATACATACACACACACACACACACACACACATATATATATATATATATATAGTTAAGGTACTTGGTATCTGCGGATTTTTCACTAAATCATATATACACACGAGATTGCCCTATTTACAACCTGCATTGTGCCATATTTCGTTTGTCTGTGTGTTCGAGAGGCAGGAAATTGTTGCGAGCCATGATCGCCTATGACATGCAAGGACATAGTATATAGAGAAAATATTTTCGGATGAAAAGTATATCTTCCAGTACACAGCTTTCTTTCTTCATTTTTTTAAAATTTTCCTTTTCGACAGTAAGAAAAGCGGGGTAACTGTTCTATATGTGCTTGTTCGTCTCTGTCTCTAAATCTGTGTGACTCCATTTATTCGTTTGTACCCAATCGCACAAACACACGCCTGTCTTTTATTTGTTCCACTGCAACGCCCGCCATTTTGTTAGACGATTTTAAAATTCGCCTAACCACCATTTAGTTATCATATGTTATGCTTTGACTAGGCGAACAGATGTAACCTTGAACAGTAGGATATGTACGAGACGCAAATGGTGCTTGTACACGTGCCACTAACTGAGAGTTCATTTATTATTATTATCATTATTATTATTATTATTATTATTTTATTATTATTACTTCGCATTTAATCATAGACATGACGCATCTCACATCCCATCACAGACATACATAGGTGGATAACGAACATAAATAAATATAAATATGGACCCACCCGTTCGTCTGGTCTCGTCTCCTGTCTCTTGCTGTCTGTACCGCCCAATCTAACCCCTTGTCTGCTGGCTGTCAGTTTCCGTTTATGTTTTTCTTTTCTTCTTACCTGTCTATCTGATTTTGTTTGTGTCCCCGTGTATCTATCGATCAGTCTGTCTCATACTGTTTCTATCATTGTCTATCTCTCCTAGTCTGTCCATCTTAGTCGCTTTCTTTCTTTCTTTTTCTTTCTTTCTTTCTTTCTTTAATTATTTTACCCCAAGCAACGCAACAAAGCCACCAAGACGCAGGATGTTATTGAGTGTGAAAGACTATCAAAAAGAGAAACATTATTAAGAAAAGAGAACAATAAAAGAACAGAAAATAAGAAGACAGAAGATAACGACTGATATTCCATTTAAATTGACTGGAAAGGAAGAGGCCAGAAGAGACTTCCAAAAGCAAGAAGTGTGAGAAAAGAGATTGTTAGCATAAAACTTATTGTTAGATCTAGCCAATTCAACTGTAAAATGAAAGGACCCTACGGCCAATCCAGTACTGCGCATCTATCTATCTATCTATCTATCTATCTATCTATCTATCTATCTATCTATCTATCTATCTAAGTTTACTGGTGTCTATCTATTTACATATCTGTCTATCAGTCTGTTCATATCTATCTATCTATCTATCTATCTATCTATCTATCTTAGTCTGTTCATATCTATCTATCTATCGATCTATCTTAGTCTGTTCATATCTATCTATCTATCTATCTAGCTTAATCTGTTCATATCTATTTATCTTAATGTGTTCATATCTATCTATCTATCTATCTATCTATCTATCTATCTATCTTAGTCTGTTCATAACTATCTGTCTATCTATCTATCTATCTTAGTTTGTTCGTATCTATCTATCTATCTATCTATCTATCTATCTATCTATCTATCTAAGTTTATTGGTGTCTATCTATTTACATATCTGTCTATCAGTCTGTTCATATCTATCTATCTATCTATCTATCTATCTATCTATCTATCTAACTATCTATCTATCTTAGTCTGTTCATATCTATCTATCTATCTATCTATCTATCTATCTATCTTAGTCTGTTCATATCTATTTATCTTAATGTGTTCATATCTATCTATCTATCTATCTATCTATCAATCTTAGTCTGTACATAACTATCTGTCTATCTATCTATCTTAGTTTGTTCGTATCTATCTATCTATCTATCTATCTATCTATCTATCTATCTATCTATCTTAGTCTGTTCATATCTATCTATCTATCTATCTATCTATCTATCTATCTGGCCTGCTCATCTATTTATCTATCTATTTATCTATCTAAACTATCGTTATTGCTTTTATTCTTTTTGTTTTTCTTTCAGTTTGCTCATATCTATCTACATAAAATTTCTGTTTGCATTTGTTATATATATATATATATATATATATATATGTGTTTATTTATATATATATATATATATATATATATATATATATATATATATATATATATATATATATATATATATATATATATATATTTCCGTGAGTGATGCTTTCAAATTACTCTTCGTATTTCTTTTTCATTGACGAAAGTTAGCCAAAACGAATAAACAAGTTTTAAGTAAACGAAATCGAATATCGTCATTATTTGTGTCGAACTAAAGTAAGCTTAGTCAATATCAAAAACACGAAAACTATTAAAAGTGCGACACATGAAACAAATGGAAGAAGAATAGGTGATGAATATAATGAAAGCCTTATATATATATATATATATATATATATATATATATATATATATATATATATATATATATATATATATATATATATATATATACATATATATTATATATATACATATATATGCATATATATATATATATATATATATATATATATATATATATATATATATAAATATAATATATATAAAATATATATATATATACAAATACAAACATATACACATATATATATATACAATATATATATATATATATATATATATATATATATATATATATATATATATATATATATATATATATATATATATAAACACGCCATGAAAAAAGTATGATTTGTTTTCATTAAACAGAATGACAACAAACACATTTGACAAAAGCAACGGCATTATAAAACCGGAATTATTTGTCTATTTTCCGCCTGGATAATCTGTTTTTTCTGCTAAAGATAACTTCAATTGTCGACAAGTGATTCATGCTATTGATGGTCGTCTTAGAAGGCAGCGATGCTGCTTACAGACCCCGATGCCAATGTACTGATGATGACGAGGGTAGGGTAAGGTTATTCATAGGTACTAACAGTTGAGATAAGAATAATTTTGAACAAAATGATTCCATATATCCCAATAAATAGCACTCAAAATAAACCTTTCCAAAAGAGAAACTCGTACGAACTACATTCACTAGTCCCGCCAAGGCAAACTTTCACGGCAAAAACACACTATGCCACTTACACAGTAGCAAACCACCCACATTCCCCCCGTATTCCCTTGGTGAGAAGTTCCACTCGAGCAGATTCCCACGAACCACTGCACTGTGGAACCGACTCCAAACAGGATGTTTCACCGATCATTACGATCTTAACCTGTTCACGGCTAGGGTTGACCGTTATTTCTCACTCCTATACACACTAATGGCCTCCTAACGTAACCCTCTACCTCGAGTGTCCCCCGAGCATTGTAAATGGGGACCTACACTGTAAAAAAATGATCTGGAATCGAATGCTGTGATGGAACATATAAAAAAATCGGAACGCTGAATCAGTAAATCCCAAACACAAATACCTCGACGTGTGTATCAGTTATAACAAATTTACTAGAGGAGAAAGGAAGTTGAACATAGAATCAAACAGTTTACTTCATACTTGATGCACGCTAGGGCGATCATGTGCCTTTCATTTCATGACTGACTTGGCAGATTTCCCTGCAGTAGGTTGCCAATTCTATCTGAGGTAGACCAAGGCTCTCTGGCCTTGTATTGGTTGTTAGTCAGTTAAGAACCATCACGTGATACATGCCCTGAGCGATCATGTCTTTTTCGATTCATGACTGACTTGGCAGGAGATTTTCATACAGTATATTGTCATTTCTTTTTTCGATAGACCAAGGCTCTCGGGCCTTTATGGGCTGTCAGTCTGTTAGTTAAGTGTCATCTCGCGATATATGCTTGGTTGATCATGTCTCTTTCGATTCATGACTGACTAGGCAGATTTCCTCACAATAGTTTGCCGTTTCTTTTTGCGGTAGACCATTTTTCTCGGTCCTTGTATTAACTGTCAGTCAGTTATGTGTTATCACGTGATACACGGTTGGTCGATCATGTCTCTTTCGATTCATGACTGATTAGGCAGAAGATTTTCTCGCAGTAGGTTATCATTTCTTTCTACGATAGACTGGTTACCAATCAAGGCTACAGAACTCAGTCTGTCCTGCTATTCAATTCATAGCTTTAGAGATGGATTCATACTTTCTCCAAGGGTATTTGCGCGTAAATATATTTGTATATGGCGAGATTTTTGTGTACAATTGTATTATATTTTAAATTACTTAATAGATGTGAATATTTGTATTTGAATTAGGTTTATATTTTTCTAGTTGAACGTATGTAAAAGTGTGTGTACATGGTTTTGTATGTGTATATTTATATATATTATTTTTATATGATTTCATTTTACGTTGTTATTTTTAAATTTGATTCCCGCCACAACCGTAAATAAAATGTACTGCTCCACTATCATCATAGCAATAATATATATATATATATATATATATATATATATATATATATATATATATATATATATATATGATTAATCTTTTAATATTTTAATATTTTTATTGTTCAATATATATATATATATATATATATATATTGTCAAATCGGTTGAGTTTCGATCCCGACTTGATACAATCGGATGTCTAATCACACTGATGAGCTGTAATACACCGAAACAGACTGTCTGTGGATGATTTATATATATATATATATATATATATATATATATATATATATATATATATATATATATATATATATATGCAAAGAGAGAAAGAGTAAGAAAGAAAAAACAGACAGCGAGTGAGAACAAAGTCTATCCCATTTTAATATTCATGAGGTATGCTGAAAAGTTATCGGCTGGATTCATTCCCCTAAATTTGGACAAATGATCTAGCATAAGATATTTTGGTGAAAAGACTTCTTAGACAAACCGAGTACTTTTCAGCAAACCTTTTCTTGCTTCGGGCAATTATGCTGCCCCTGTCTTCCGAGTGCGCAGGTTCTGTCTGCCTTGAAAATAAGCAACTGAAATATTGGCCTTTTACGCAGGTCTTAAATTTAACTTGCCTTTTTCTTTCTTTCTTTCTTTCTTTCTTTCTTTCTTTCTTTCTCCAGATTTTAAATTCTACCTTGCCGTTTTCTTTCTTTCTTTCTTTCTTCCTTTCTTTCGTTCGTTCGTTCTTTCGTTCGTTCTTTCTTTCTTTCTTTCTTTCTTTCTTTCTTTCTTTCTTTCTTTTTCTTTCTTTCTTTCTTTCGTTTGTTCGTGCGTTTTTTTCGTTCTTTCTTTCTTTCTTTCTTTCTTTCTTTCTTCTATCACCTTTTTATCTTCCAGTTTACCTGTTTTTTTTCTTTTTCATCATTCTGTTATATTTTTCTTTCCTTCAATCACTCCGTGCGGCCGCATAAACCCTTATTTTTTTCCAATCTTATATTCCCTAGTAAAACTTATTTTCTCTCACTTACACCAGTCTATAAAAAATCGAAGGATTATAAATAAAAAAGCACTTTGCATCAAAGTCCCGCCTGCTTTGAACTTTCGTCCTGTGAAATCAACACCAGGGCGAACGATCAGCGAACTAAAAGACAAAAAGAAAAGCTCTAAACAAGCTGAGAAATTTCTGTTTTACGATGGGAGTTGCAGAGGTCTCAAATCGTGAGAAGCCATTTTGTGGACAGAAAAGTCTTA